TATGATGTTATAGTATGTGAGTGAGGCATTGGAACGTTCGAAAAAAAAAACATTTTTATTTGCCAAAAATATCCCATCCAGGAAGAGTTACTTGTCTTCATCAAGGAAGCGAAATCCAACCAGTGATCTCCATCCCAAAAATTTTCCAATCTGCGATAAAACCCTGTGATATTAGATTAAATTAAAACTTATGAAGAAATATAAAAACTAAACTGATCTAGAATCTAGAATATACTAATAATCGACATATTTTTCTATTTTTTCCTTTATAAATTTAAAATATTTTTTTAGTTTTTGATGTTGTGTATTAAAAATGCCTCCAAATAAACATTTTTAAATTGTAATTTATTTGTTGTTTCATTTATTATTATTTTTTACTTTTATTTTCTCAAATACAATTATTATTATTTGTTGTGTATGTATATGAATATATATGTAATTTTAAACATAGTTATGTTTTTGTTTTCTTGTTTTCAATTGTCAAATTAAAAACTAGTAAATATAATTACTGTTCTTTATAATCATTTATAAAATTATATGTATACATATACTTTTGAAATTATATTTTTAATGATATACATATTTATTATTTGAATGGATCGATCACAATAAAATCATCTTACTTTCTTTGTTTTTATTATATATGGATATTTTTTTATTTTATAATTAAAAATTGCTTAATGATTTCATATAAACATATTTTTATTTGCAGTAACGAAAATAAACAGATTTTTTATTTTATTTCAATTCAATGAAGAAGAATATTTGATTTTTGTTTCTTGGAAAGAAGAAAAGGTATTGGAAAAAGGCACGGGATACTAAAAATTGGTTTTGTTATATAGAAATCAATCATAATCAAAAAAAAAAATGATATACATTTTAAGAGAAATCAATTAATAGAAATTAAAATTACAGATTAAAAATTAATTGAGAACAATTTACAATTATAGATAAATAAGTAATTGCTTTACACTACACTTAAGGAAGACCTATATATGTAGATATATATACATATTTTTAAAATTTATAAAGGACAATGTTATAATGTGACATACAATTCAATAAAAAAATGAATACTGAGAGATGTGTAAACTGACCTTCTTGTGGCATCCTTCAATTAGTGATTATCACAAGCAGCCATTAAATCGGTACCGATTTCACTATCTCGGACATTATTCATGTAATAATGTAAATAGGTTCCCCATAAATGTAATTAACCCCCCCCCCCTCCTTTTTGCAATGTTTAAAGTATTTGAAAACAGCTTATTTTTTCTTCTCAATTTTTCAACATCCAAGAGGTCCAACTTCATAAGACTGCAGCCTGTAAAACAAACTTACATCGATAATGGACCAGGTATCACACTGCATCGGATTTAAAACTCCAAAAGCCAACTCTCTCCAGTCAAACGATATCCCCCCTATCTTCCCTCAGCAAGGTCAATTTTAATATATTGGCTAAATTCATTTAAATGTGCGAGTGAAAAATATGAAGTTAATATGCAGAAAACATGGGTTTTGGTAAAAAATTCCCTAGAAATAATTTTCTGAAACTAAGTTTTTAAAATGCTAAATGAATTCGTTCCGTTTGCCATGTTTTTTGGCTGTAGGCTTTTTACAATTAAATATAGTTTTCAATTTCGATTTTTTATTTTTACACTTTTTTGTATATTATCTCGCCTGTTGACCCAATTGGCAGTCCATAATTGTATTTGAGTCCAACTGGAATTTTTTTACCTGGCGTGATTAATGTCGATACGTAATTAAAATGAATTTAAACCACTATCATTTGATTGTATTTGTTTTACATATTTTTATAATTACGGATGACACTTGAATAGTCACTTCCTCCACATGATCTGCTCTCATGTATAACAACATGTGTAATAGACACTGTAGTCACAATTTTCCTACAGAAACCAGAAATTACCAAGAAATAATACCTATTGATCTACTTTTTTTCTGTTTGTGAAATGATATGAATATCAACTCATGTCCTAGTAAATCTGTATATACGTCGAATCGAAAGAGTGCAGCTCGATTTTATATAATATAAATTTTATTAAACCTCATGCGTATTGTCGAAACAGAATGAAGAGCATACCTGAGAACGATTGTGCTTATAAATATTGAAATGCTGAGAATTATCACCACGCATTCCTGAGAGAGAGCATCGAAGTCAATTTCGAAATAATTTTATTTTATAGGCCGGAAACTTCAAATTGTAGCCAATCAAATTTATATAGGGGAATCGAAATTCGATCAATATTTGTGCTAAATAGCCAATGAATTTGCTATTCGTTGTCTGAAGGCCCGGTAGATTGGTTTTGGACTTTAAAGTAAAGTTGTCACCCTCCATCCATATGTAAAAGCGTAAACATCCAGCCCAAGTGCTCCGTTTCTAGTGTTTTTTATACCCGATACTTTAAGTTTTTTGCCACAAATATTCATCGAAAACCTAATAATACGATATTTAAGATAGCTAATATTCCTAGGATGTATGTTATTAAAAACATATTCACATTGACAATAGGTCCCATATAAGCTTACTGATCCATTGTTAAAACTCTATAGTGAACAATTTTTAACAAACTTCCTATAAAAAATGATTTTGGGACAATTTTTGATTAAGTGGCAAATTCGCATTGCCTTTTTCTAGGGTATAAACAATCTCTCAACTGATATTTACCATTAGAACATACTTTTAAATAAATATTTCGGCATAGCAAGGTATTTACTTGTAGGCCATCTAAAGGCGAGCTTTCCGGCTAGAGGGTTAAAGTGCTAGAGGCATTTTCAACCTTAGTGATTTTCAATTTCGTGTTCTAGGAATGTAAATTGCGTTCACGTAGATAGCCTGAGTCCGGAGTGACGTGTGAGTTTTGTGAAACGTGTGTTATTTTTCGTCTGATTTTGTTTTGTTGAAATCTGTTCAGTTTGAAAAGTTTGACACATATAGTCGATGTTGTAAATGGTGATGTTTGTTAAGAAATTTCTAGAGTGATGTGATGTGAAAATCGGTTCAGATTTCGATATAGCTCTCATATACAGTTTCGACCGATTTTATGTATATGTTGCACTAAAGACCAATAGCGATAGAACATTGCACAGGGTATTTTTCCACTTAGTGAGAAACAAAAATACCTAATTATAGCTGATTAGTTTCAAAAAATGAAGAAAAGCCTTAGAGTACCGACTTTTGGGATACCGCTATATGGAGCCTACTGTAAAAAATTGGCCGATATATTGCATTTTCAATATCAAACATCCTAGAAGTAATATAACCCATCAACCGAACTCAGCAAATTTTAAAGGACTACAAAAACCGATATTTGTAATTTCGGGCTCACACAGAATATTTTCAATACGGGTTCATGTGTTAACGTACCCCCCTAAGCAGGACTCGCTAAATATTTGACATTTCAAAGGACTTAGATAATTTCCCAACTGTATTGATATATTCCTATATATACAGGACCATTTCATTTTAGCTATAATGGATTGCAGATGGTTTTCCTGACCAATGGTGTGACATAGCCCCATTTCATAATTTCGGTTTTTACGATCTAATTGAATGTTTATATTTCACGGAGGGTAAAATACAAAGTGTCAGGACATTTTCTCTATAGGTACATGTTTTTATAGAACTTTCATATATAGGGGCAGCACCCTTTGTGGTATTTTATAAGTCCTGGACGTATTTTCCAATCGAAGTGGTCGATATAGTCAATTTTTAAGGTCCTTGCAGTATTTTACATCCAAGGTAATATGATGACAGGGCTTTGCTTCCCATTTCTTATTGTTACATAAATTGAGTCTGAATATGCCTCATATTTTCATTGGACAAATTTAAAAATTCTGCGGTTTAATTTTTTTTAAGTTTTTATATTTTTCTACTTTTTAAGTTGGTAAAGGCTAACTTAACTAATTTTAATTTTCATTTTTGTTTTAACAAAAATAATGCCACATGGAAAATAATGACATTTTTGTGAAATATGAACACTTTTAAGTATATATATAGAGATATTTCATATGATATAAGGAAAGAATTGATATATATCTCTAATGATTTAAAATATAATTCAAAGTTTGTAAAAAAATGATGGTTTAAATACAAATTAAAGGGAAATTAAGCCTAGTTATTATAAAGAAGTATTGCGTTGGATTTCATCAGAAAGATGTAAGAATAACATATGATTTAAATAATTTTAAAAAGGGATTTCAAATGTATGAATTAAATTTTAAAAAATTAATAAGTAAGGAGTCGAGATTTAATATACAGACCAATTTTAAAGGTTACAATTTTGAAACCTCCATATTTCAATCAAAAACTGATCTGTTCTCTTACTGCAGTAATATAGTAATTTTTACTATATTTTTCGATACTATAAAGGAACAAATCTTATCGAACAAACCAATAATTTATATTCAATTTATTTTTACAATTGTAAATCTCTCTGATAAAATTCCAACCAATAGCTATTATTTTTGTTACAAAATTTTATCATAGTATCTATATATTTTTTTATATATAATTAAAAATATATTATCGTATTTTGTTCACAATTATTTTTTATTTTTGTTTGAATTTTTTTCATTATCAAAATGTTTCATTTATGGATATCACAAAGTAGTAGTGTAAAGCACTTCTATAAATATAAACAGAATAGGCTTGCAAATATATATTTTTTAAATAAATTTTTATATTTCTTAACTAAAGGAAATAGAGGAAAATAAAATTGAAACTAAATTACTTAAAAATTAAGGAATTTACAATGATTACAATTATAGAAGAAGAAAAAAAAACAAATATATATAAAATTTTGGAGACATACGCAGCATGTATGTATATAATATATAAGTATAATATGTTGTTCAAAATATATGATATTCTAGACAAAATTTTCTTTTTAAACTCTTTAAATGGAGTTACTACTTTTTTGTTGTTGGGGTTCTTGCTAATTTTTGAAATTCTTTTATAAAGGATTTTTTGTATTTTTTTCTTATTTAAAAAATGGATTTTTGGAAGCCGATGATTTCATGGCACACAGGGTTTGTCTTTCCAATTGGAAATCATAGTCAAGTTCTTTTTTCAATACAAAATCGCTGAGTTGTGGCAGTGTCGAGAGCTAAATAGAAAAAAAACAAAATTAGAAAATGTTTTAAATTTTTTTCTACTCCAATTTTTTTCATACCTCATTTTGTTTATTTGATTTCAATAAAGGATTAATCACAAATGGCACACCTTCAACATCGGTGTAGGTACCCAATGTACCAATACTATGACCCGAACATGTACTATTATTAGCTGACGTTGGTGGTCTGGGGGCAGGTCTCAGTGGTGAATTGATTTGATACGACTGTTGAATTTCTTCATAGTCATGGTCCTCGGCATTGCTGGGCACTGGCGGCAGTGGTTGTTTAGGATTTCTCGAGCCATTATTGAGATTTAAACGATTTAAAGCCTTTTCCACTTCCGAGCTGCCATTGCCACCACCATTAGTTTGTGCTGGCGCCAAACCGGGTACGGGAGGTGGCAAGCGTACAGGTATTGCACCAGTTTTATAACAAATTAAAATACCATTTATATCACTGAAAACAACAAAAATAAAAAAAACGTTATTTCAGTTAAACTTTTCAAACATCCACTGACTTACCCCGCCAGCTTAAACCCATCTGGTGCAATTTTCAATTTCGAACACAGAATAATATCGGTAACGGCATGTGTTACGGTACCTCGTTTAGACAATTTATAGGCAATTTGTCGTTTACGCCAGGCCTTCTGATCGGAATCGGCTGTACGTGATAACAGTGAGAATTCTTTGGGTGGGGCAATTTTTTCGGCAATTACTCTGGAAAGATATAAAATAAAAATAAAGGAAATTAATACAAAAAGTTGAGAATTAAAAAAAATAATCTACAAAAAAAATCGATCAAATTTTAATCGATAACATAAATTTCCACAAAAAAAAACTAGAAACAATTCTAGTTATAGAATTCTTTAAATTTTGATATTTTTTTTATAAAATTTTAAAAGGAAATTTTTATCGATAAATTACTAATAAAAGAATCCGGACGATAAAACAATTGTAATACAACGTAAGAATGTAAATGTAATTTTTTTTACTACGATAACAAATTTTCCTTTATGATATCGAATTGTTCTTGCGGTGTACACACTAGCATTTTTGAATGGCACTCTTGCCCAAATTTTGCTTGTTTGATAGTGTGGCCTCACATGTTTGTCATTCATCAGGCTACCACAAAAATATTTATGGTTGTTGGACATTCAGTAATCGATAAAAAAGTTGACAGTGATAGTGTGTACACCGCTTTAAACACATTTTAATCGATAAAATTTACTATAGCAATTCTTTTCGATTTTTTTTTTTTTTTTTGATAAATACGATAACAAATTTTCCTTTATGGTAACGGGAACAGAACAAATATCTTTTCATTAAATTTTCAAAAAAAAAAAAAAAACATAATCGATATTTATCATAAAAGAAAGCAATCGACACAAAATTTTTCTAACCAATTTTTATCGTAACAAAATGTTTGTTCGGAATTTCAGTCGATAACTGAATTTTTCTTTACAAAAAATTCTAATCGATAACACGTTTCCTATAAAAGTACTAAAAAACTTATTATTATTGATAAATATTTTATAGTAAGAAATTGTTATCGACTTCTTATAAAAATTGTTATCGATAACATTATATAAAAAATTATCGAAAACTAATTTTTTTATTAAAATATTCTGTCGATATAAATACTTTTGATATAATCACTTTTCTTAAAAAAATACCGATAACATGTTTTCCATACAAGTTCTATAAACGTTATTAGTATCGATAAATATTTATAAAAACCCCTTCGATAAAAATATTCTCTATAGCAATTTTTTGTCAATAACTGCAACATTTATAATGGATAACATGTTTCAACAACAATATTTTCTATACCAAATATTTTCGATTTTTTTCCGATAACTTTCCGTTGTATGCAAAATCTTATTTTAATATTTTCGATAATTTTGTATTAAATAATCAGATCGATAAAAATATGCTCAATGGTAATTTCTGTCGATGATTGCCTTTTTTACAAAAAAAAAAAAATAAATAAAACAAATTTTAACCCAAAAGTCTCAATTTAGATTGCGCGAGTTTACTTGCGGCAAGTATTTGTTTGCAGGAGAGAGGGGCAAGGGGAATAGAAATTGAAAAAAAATTGCCCGTACCGACAATTTTCTGGCAATTCGTTTTGTGTATTTTGTTTGTAGTGTCAGTAATTCCCAATTTATAATTGGTCTGTTCCCGTACTGCAAGAATCTACTATTTTTTACACCGATAACACTTTTTTCCTTTATGATATCGAAGAAAATAGTAAAATCGAGTAGATTCTTGCAGTACGGGAACAGACCAAATTTGAAATACCAATCAGAACATTGTCACAAAATGTAAAAAAATATATATTTTTGAAACCGAATTGCCTTGTGTAGACGCATAAAGCAAGTTCAAAAGAGAGCGATAAAAATTGCCGCAAGTAAACTCGCCTAATATAAGTCAGGACTAACATGATATTCATAAAAGTTCTGTAAAATGTATGATTATCGATAGCTAAGTATTGTTTAAAAAAATTATCCCTTATAACCTTATTGGCTTTTCTATAACAACTTGTATCAATAACAGAAATTTGTATACTAATTTATCGATAACAAGTATATTGATACAAATTTTAATGTAGAATTCCAATCAATAAGAAATTTCCTGTAAAAAAAATAATTCGATATATCGATAATAATATTTATCGATAATAATATTTCTATAGTAAGAATTATAACAGATTTTTTTTTTCTAAAAAAATATTCTAACCGATTATATACTACCGATAAAAATTCAATATTTTTATCGAGATAAATTTTTCTAGAAAATTTTAATATCGATTAGTTGACATTTGCTCCTATAACATTTTTATCGACATAGAAATTTTAACCGATAACATAAATTTCTATGAAAATACATTTCTATTAAATATCAAATCGATATAGAAAAATAATCGATAGCAAAATTTCAATAAAAATTTTAATTTTTATAAAAAATATCGATAACAATATTTTAACAAGATTTTATGGGGAAATTATTGCCGATAAAAATATTTTTTATTAGAAATCCCTGTCGCCAACAAGTTTTACAGTAGAAATTCTTGTCGAAAGAAGTGTTTTCTATTCTATATATTGCAATACTTATCGATAACAAAATTTTATATAGAATTAATTATCGGTAAAATTATCGGTATCGAAATAATGAGCGATAACAAGTTTTTCTATAGAAATACAAATCGATAATAATATTTTCTGGAGATATTCGAATCGATAACAAAAATTTTCTACAGCAATACTGATCGTAAACTAAACATGTCGATAAAAGTGTTTTCAATTGAAATTATTGTCGATAATATTAAGTTCCGATATTATTTTCATGTCGATAATACAATTTTTTATAAAATTGATTATGGGTAATATTGAAATCCCAATCGATAATAAGATTTTTTTTTATCGAAATACCGATCGATAATAAGATTTTTTTGTAATAACACTGATCGATAATAATATTTGTTATAGAAACTATTGTCGATAACAATATTCTTATTAGAAATTCTAGTCGATAACAAAAAAATCTGTCAAAGTGTTTTCTATTGAAATAACATGAAGTCTCTATAGTAATTCATATTATTCTCATATTCGAATATTTAAATTACTTATCGATTAATAGTATTTATATGGAAATCCTACCTAGAAAAAGATTTTCTGTACAAATATTGATCGATAAACAGGACCTTCTGAAGAAAAACAGATCGATAAAAGCATATTCTACTGAAATTGGAATCGATAACAATATTTATTATATAAATGATGATCGATAATGAGATTTTCTATTACAGTTATTGCCGATAATAGTATTCTCATTTAAAATTCTTGCCGATAACAACAATTATTATAGAAATAATGATCGATAAAAAGATTTTTATATTAAAGTTATTTTCGATATCAATATTCTTATTAGAAATACTTGCGCTTATTGTTGACTATAACATGACGTTTTTTAATGATCATTGTCGGCAATAAAATATAAATTATCAGTATTAAGGTATTAAATGGAATTTCCACACTGAAATAAAATTTTCTGTCGAAATATTGATCGATAACAAGATTTTTTGTTGAAATACCCATCGACAATAAGATTTCCTATCGAATTCGAATCGATAACAAAATTTGCTATATAAATATAGATCGATAACAAAGTTTTTTTTTTATAAAAATTATTATTGAAAATAATATTCTTATTAGAAATCCTTGCCGTTAGCAAAATTTTCTATAAAAATTGTTGTCGTTAACAGGATTATCTACAGACATCCCAATCAGTAGTAATATTATCTCTATTAATCCCTATCGATAATAAGGTTTATTATGTTCTTAACAAATTATTTTCAATATCAAATTCAACAATCGTGTCTATTTGTTAAAATAGTTTTAATTTTAAGTTTTCAATAACAACAATAAAAAAAGTAATTTGTCTGAAGTATTTAAATTAGGTTTACAATGGACATTTTGTGATATTAAAACAATTAATGTCAATAAACCCCCATTAACAAGAAGATGAACAAGAGCAACAAGAACAAGTACTCGTTCATAGCACACAACATAATTGACAATGTCTTTTTCTAATTAAGTAATTTGTTGTTGTTATGTTTTATGATATAATTGACAATTGATGCTGCTGCTGCTACCACGGAAGGCGGCCACAAAATTGCGTGGTGCGTCGTCGTTATGAGGTCACAACATTTCTAGTGGCGGAGATCTTGTCGTTGTTGCTGCCTCTATTAGGAAATACCCGTATAAATTTACCAAACAGCTGATATCCAATCCAGCGATCATTATGACTAATTCCACAGTAGCATTTTTTGTCTAAATTTTTTTGTTACTGATTTATCAATGGGGCTTTTGCAAACAACTGTCGTCAAAGATATTGGGATTTTTTTATTTATTTTTTGTCGGTCTGTGGTTTGACATCGATCACCTTATGTGTGTGCGCGCCTCTCTATTATATGCTTTCGAATTTGAATACCGATTAGTGGGGAATTAATTTGTATCTGAATATTTACAGGCTTTATTGAATAGCTTTTAGAATCGTAATATGGACAGATGACTCATTTTCATTTGAGTGACATTTGTTGCCTACTATTTTTTCTTCTTTTTCTTTTTTTGATATCAAATTAGCAATTGTCTGTTATCTTTGAGTATTTACTTTGGCCTCCGATTAATAATGACGTCTTTATATTGCAGTTAAGATAATGACAATTGAGATAACCTGACAGCTTCATATGACAGGAAAATAAACGAAATTATTCATTCGAATATTTTTTGGAAAAAATTTCAGTATATTACAAGAAAAATTAAAAATAATTATAAAAATAAATAAAAAATTAAAAATTATAAAAATAAATAAAAACAAAATTTAAGCGGTGTATACACTATCAGTTTTATACATCAGGCATTCACGAACATTCGTGGTTGTTGAAGAGGCAGCATAATCGATAAAAAAGATGAGAGTCCAAATTGGTAGTGTGTACTCGCATTTAATATAACAAAACTTGTTATCGACAAGTATTTTAAATAGATAATCTATTTATCGATCCAGATTTCTATACAAGATCTTGTTAGCGTTTAGAATTTCAACCGTTTAGCATTTTTATAGAAAATTTAATTGTCGATAAAAACATTTATATAAAAATCATGTTATCGGTAAAAGCTTTCAAAGAAAATTGTGTTATCGCCTAAAATATCGAGAGAAAATCTTTTTATTGCCGAAAATTTCGTATGAAAATTGTAATATCGATATAAATTTGTAACGAAATCTTCATCATATCCATAAATATTTCAAAATAAAAAATATCTACCATATTGACAATAGAATATACAAAATCTTGTTATCGATAACATTTGTTATAGAAGCCATTGTTATCGACGATAATTTCAATAAAATGTATTTTTTTTATAAGAATTTCAACAGAAAATTATTTTATCGATAATATCTAAACAAATTGCTATCGATAATAATTTCTTTAGAAAATATAATTTCTGTAGTAAATGTTGTGTATGTTGTCATTAGATTATCTACAAAAAACCCATGTTATCGAAAATTAGTTCTATAGAATATCTTGTTATCGATGGTCATTATAATAAAATATAATTTTTTATCGAAAATATTTTATACCGATCATGTTGTTATCGATGGTAATTTATTTAATATATATTGCCATCGATAAAAATTCTTAAGGAAAATAGTGCTGTCAGTAATAACTTTACAGAAAATTTTGTTATCGATAATAATTTCTATAGAACATATTGTTATCGATAATAGTTTCTGCAGAAATTCTTGTGTTTTCTATAGAAAAATATTTGTTATAGAAAATTTTGTTAACGACAATAATTTTTATAGAAAATTTTGTTATCGGCAATAATTTCTACAGAAAGCTTTGTTATCAAAAATATTTTCTATAGAACATTTTGTTATCGGTAATATTTTCTATAGAGATTTTCGTTATCGATAAGTTTATCTACAGAAAATCTTGTTGTAGAAAATGTTGTTATCGGTAGTAATTTATATTAAACATTTTTGTTATCGAAAAATTTTTTTTATCGTTAATAAACAATTTTTATCGATAAATTTATTTACCGAAAATCTTGTTATAATATTTTCTGTAATATTTTCTGCAGAAATTTCTTTGTATCGAAAATATTTTGTATTGAAAATTTGTTTAGCGTCAATATATAGTTTAGAAAAAATTTTTATCGATAATAATTTCTATAGAAAATTTTGTTATCACTAATATTTTTTTAGAACATCTTGTTATCGATTATAATTTCTAAAGAAATTTTTGTCGCCGATGGGATTTTTAAAGAATATAATGTTATCGACAATAATTTCAGTATAATATTTTGTTATCGAAGATAATTAAATAAATAATATTGTTATCGATAAAATTATCTACTGAAATACTTGATATCGACAATAAATTCTAGATCAAATCTTATTATCGTCAATAAATTCAATAGAAAATCTTGTTATCGTCGATAATTTTAATAAATTATATTGTTATCAATAAAATTATATACTTTTAAACTTGTTATCGAAAATAAATTCTATAGAAAATCTTCTTACCGATAATAGTTTCGATTGAAAATATGTTTATCGACAAAAATCTTGTTTTCCGATAAGAATTTGTACAGAATAAAATCGTTAAAGGAATAAATTTCTATAGAAAGTCTTGTTATCGATAAAAATGTTATAGAAAATATTGTTAACGATAATGATTTCTATAGAAAATCTTATTATCGATAAGCATTTTTACAGAAAAACATCTTATCGATAATAATTTCTACACAAAATCTTGTTATCGACGATAATTTCAAGAAATTAATTTCTATAGAAAGTCTTTTATCGAACAGAAAATCTTGTTATCGGTAAGATTTTCCAAAAATTATGTTGTTATCGATAAAAATATCTACTGAAAAACTTGTTATCGAACATAAATTCTATAGAAAATCGATCGATTTATCGATAATAATTTCTATAGAAAATATTGTTGTCCATTAGAATTTCTAAAAAAACTTGTTATCGAAGATAATCTCTATAAAAATTTTGTTATCGATAATAATTTCTCTAGAATATTTTGTTATCGATAATATTTTCTATAGAAAATATTGTTATCGATTAGAATTTCTACAAAAAAAATTATCGAAGATAAATCGATAATAATTTCCATAAAATATGGCTATCGATAATAATTTTCATATAAAGACTTGTTATCGGCTAGAATTTCTATAGAAATTTTTGTTGTCGAAACTTTTTTCAATAGAAATTTTATTATCGACGAAAAGTTCTTCAGGAAATTTTGTCAACATTGCGAAATTCATTACAAAAATTGTGTTATTGACGAACTTTTCTACAGCAAATCCTATTATCAAATAGAACAATGTCAACTAAGTAGTTCGCACAAATGAATTCATTCATTCATAATACACTCATTAGTTTGTTGTTTACTCAAATGTTTATAAATAACAAGAGATATAATGAGAAAAAAAAACAGAGAACAAAAAACACAACAAAGATAAGATAGCCTAAAAATAGTTTAACAAAATAATATTCAATTCAATTAAAGCTTATGAGGTCAATGTGTTGACTACAAAATAGCACATCAAGTGCTGAAAATGTTGTTAAAATTTATAACACAAAAATGGTTGGAGAATAAACATTTCCTGAAATAGATCACGAACTTCCTGAAATAGTTGGGCTAGGTTGGAAGTGCAATAAATGAAGAAAGCTATTAAATTATCGTGGTGACAAGATAATCGCTTAAGTAAAAGCCTTCCCTTTCTAGGGAGGGAAAACCCCCTCAATTTAATTCCCCTAACCAAAACGGACAAAATTCTAAAAAAAAAAACAATAAACCGATAAAAAATAAAGTCAAATAAAAACCACCAACTCAGCCACCATACCGCCGCTGTTTAAACCCAAAAGCCGGCAAACTAAAAGTTGATTGACCTTAATTAAGTTCAGAGCTAAACAAAGAAGTGAAAAATACAAAAAAATGAAACATTGTTTGTTACGTATCTTGGCCAGGAAAAAAAGAAAAAAGTCACACACACCACAGATGAACAATGCAAGGTATCGGACTAAGCTAAGCTATGGTAACATCAGCACAACCTACAACTACTACAACAAACACTTTAATAATAATAGCAATTATGGAAAACCACAAGGAAAGAAAACAAAAAAAGAAGAAGAAGATATTCGTCCCTCCTCCCATTTTTTTACATACTTTAGCGTTTCCACAACATATTCTGGCAAGCCCTCGGTTTTCGATAAACATAGGTAGCGTGTGGTCTGACGTCCAAATAGATAATTACTTTCCCGCCACAAATCGGCATCGGCATCTTGATCATAAGTACGACTGATGGGTGTGAAATTCTTTGGGCATCTGCAAATGGAAAGGAAACAGAGGAAATGAGAATTATAACGTTATCGAATAGAATGTAATAAATAATGTTATCGTTTTAAAAATTCTATACACATTTTGTTGTTGAATTTTAGAAAATTAAATTATAAAAGGAAAAGAATTTTGATTATTAAAAGATACGTCCACGTTCTGGAACAGAGCAAATCTTGTGATTAAAAGATATTCATTTTTATCGACAGGAATGTCCATATAGAAATCTGTTAACAATTGCTTTATTCCCGTACTACTCTACTAATTTGTTCGATATCATGAAGGAAAATTGTTTATCTTAGTAAACAAATCACATACTGTTATCGAAAAAAGTTCAATACAAAATTATATTATCGATCTAATATTCAATTATCGAAACGGGTTTCTTCAGAGGCATTGTTCATTAAGAATTTCTCTAAAATCTATAATATTATCGATACAATTTTTCTACAGAAAATCTTGTTATCGATATATAAACATTTTATTGATAACCGATATCACCGAAAATACAACATTCAATGGAAAACCTTGCTATAGACTACATTTATTGTGGAAAATTGTGTTATCGATAGTCATTTCTATACAAAATCTTGTAATCTATAACATTTAAAGAAAAAATTGTTATCGATAACAATTTCTATAGAAAATCTTGTAAATAATAATAATTCCTATAGACTAATTTGTTGCCTATAAGAATTTATAATGAAAATATTGTTATCGATAACAATATTTATAGAATATCATGAAAACTATAAGAATTCCTAATGAAAATCTTGTTATCGATAAGAATTTTCATTAAAAATCGAATTGAATTCAATAATAATTTCTAATCAAATTTTTGTTATCGATAATAAATCCATACAAAATCTGGTTATCACTAATAATTTTCATAGCAAATGCTGAAATTAATAATAATTCCTAATGAAAATCTTGTTATCGATAAAAATTTCCAATGAAAATGTTGTCATCGATAACATTTTTCAATTAAAATCTTACTTTTGAAATTTCCAAAGAAAATCTTGTTATCGATAAAAATTTCTAATTAAAATCTTGTTATCGATAAAAATTTTTATAGAAAATCTTGTTATTGATCATTATTTTTAAAGAAAATCTTGTTATTGATAATAATTTCAATAGAAAATGTTGTTATCGATAATAATTTTCATAGAAAATCTTGTTATCGTTAAAAATGTTCACAGAAATTGTTGTTATCGATGAAAATGTTCATAAGTATTCTTGTCATCGATAATAATTTTCAAAGATAGAAATAGAAAATATTGTTATCGATATAACATATTAATAATTTTCATAGAAAATGTTGTTATCGATAATAATTTACACTTATATCTTGATATCGATAAAAATTTCCAAAAAAAACCTAATATCTATAAAAATTTCCACAGAAAATGTTGTAATCGAAAATAATTTTCATTGAAAATCTTGTTATCGATAATAATTTCCACTTAATATTTTAATATCGATAAAAATTTCCAATGAGAATCTTGTTATCGATAATAATTTTCGTAGAAAATCTTATTATAGATAATAATACCCATAGAAAATCGATAATAATTTCCACTTAATATGTTGATATCGATAATAAATTGGACTTAATATCTTGATATCCGTTATAAATTCCAATTAAAATCCTGATATCTGGTTATCGATTAAAATTTCAACAGAAAATCTTGTTATCGATAATTTCTATAGAAAATAGTTTTATCAATAACAATGAATTAGCATGTTATCGATAATAATTTATATACATAAAATTTGTTTCGATAATAATATTTAATAAAAATCGTAATCCTAAATAAGTGTTATCGATAATAATTTTTAATGCAAATATTTTTATCGATAATAATTTCTATAGAAAATCCTGTTATCGACATCAAAATCGTGTTATCGACACTAGTTTCTAAAGAAAAACTTGATTTCGGAAAGATTTGCCAATGAAACTCTTGTTATCGATAATAATGCCTACAGAAAATGTTGTTATCGATAGTGATATCTATAGAAAAAAATGCTATATAATTTATTTTCTATAGAACCTCGATCATATTTTTTATAGGAAATCTTGTCGCTTTCATTTTATGCGGGACATGTTTTAATCGATTAAAATGTTAATAAAACAAGTTGTTATCGATTTGAATAATTATATTAAATATTCTTATCGATAATAATTGACAAAGAAAACCATGTAATCATCAATAATTTCTCTAAACACATGATATTCTGCAAAATGATCTGACCCAGAACCAGCATGAATTACGTATTAATCGAAGTTGTTTTACGATTTTACTTTAATAATATTAAAAGTTTTACCAGTTTTTAAGTACGGGAATAAACGAACTGTTATCACTATATTCGGCCTGATTCAAAAAAAAATGTAAAGGAAAAATCGAGAACCACTTCGATTAATAGAAGATTCGAGCCCTGTTTCCGAAGCTTCTGCAAAATATCTTTTTTTAATCGAAATTGTTTTACGATTTTCTCTTTATAAATTTGAAAAGTTTTACCATTTGTTGAGTCCGGGAACAGACCAATAGTTATCAATAATAATAACTGTGTTCCCGAAACTACATGAATCTTCTATTAATCGAAATTGCTTTGCTATTTTCCCCTTAAAAATTTGAAAAGTATTATCACGGAGCTGACAAATTATTATTTTCTAATTAATTTTTTTTTAGTCGTGATCATCAATCAAAATTAAAAAAAAAATATATATAAAAAATAATTTCAATAAAATTCAAATACTCACTTTTCATAGTCTTCAACAATGTGCAGCGATGTGATTGGTCGATTGTCGGGCAAAAAATTCATTATCGATGTGATCACATTCTTGGAAGCTTGTGTTGAGCCGGTGACTCCGCCGCCACCACCACCTCCCCCAACTGTTGTGGATGTTTGCAGCAGCGGTGATTGGGGTGCTATTAAGGGTCCATTACTGGCGCCCGATTGTATGTGTTTGCCCGCTTTATTCATATCTTTGCTGAATACGAATAAAGCGTCTGTTTTGGTAGCCAGCTTGATGGAGGATGGGTGCTACGTTGCCGAGCAGCAGCAGATGGGTGGAGGGGAAAAATAGCAATAATAATATACAAAATACACACGCCAACACACCCGACGACACACAATTCAATTATCAGTGACTTTCACCTATATTTCCGTTGCGATGGCCAGTGTTTGGATTTTATTTGTTGCTGTTTTCAAGCTGAGGCTATAAAAAACAAAAACAGAGAAGAAAAAAATTAAAAATTTAAATAAAAAAATGATTTAAAAATATTAGGCATTATGATAAGTTTCGACAACCACCAAGCAAACAATTTTTTTGCAGGGAGTAGTAAATTTTTTTGCTTAACAAATATGGAATGTAGCTGCTCTGAAATATGGCAATCGTTCCACAGATTTCATTTTGGTTTATTTATTTTTTTCTTTTTTTTTTTTTTGAGTACACAATAAAGGCAGAAATTTGTTTACTTTGAAAAAGTACGTTTGTCATCCGTCGTATTCGCTCGATTATTCAACAATTCTTTTTTGTTTACACTCAGATTTTTTGCTTTGTCTGATACTTTTTGGAAATGTGAGAGTAGTGCAAATTAATAAAGCCAATGAGTCTTGCGTATTTTGTTTATAAAACTTTGAAATAGGAACCGCAAAAAAACTAGATATCTTTGGTGGTCTACAAATTTTAAAAAATTCCCCTGGAAAATCTAAAAGAATCTAAAAATAAATACTCAGGAAGGGGCTGATCAATACTGAGATTCCCAGTATTAATCAGTCCTTTCCTGATGATTACTACCCCGACGTGTGCAAATAATGTTCGACGACTGAGAAGTACGTTCGTTTCCCCGTTAATGTCTTCAGTAACATACGCCAGACTCAGATGTACACCACTTCAGGTATTGTTCCGGCTTGGCCAGGTTGCGAGACTACAGCGAGGAACAATAGAAGAGATAGTGGACTTCATGAATCGGAAGAATATCTTGGTGGCGGCGGTGCAGGAAACCAAGCTCAATGAAAATTGTAGCCTACAGAGTTGTGATGGTCACAACGTTCCGAGGAAGGATCGCACCAGAAGTGTAGGTGGGTGCCTAGCATACCTCATGCACCACTCTGTTCAATACAGACCTATTTCGCTTGGACTTGAATCTAATGACCAATACATGGAACATACTGTGGTACTGTCGATGTGGAGCTGCTTAACGTATACATACCGCGGATAAATAGCTGTGAACCGCGTTATTTGCCTAACATTAGTTTTCTATTGGAGGGCAATAACCATCTGGTACTAGGGGATTTCAATGATCACCATGAGTTGTGGTCCTAGATAATGACCAAAGGGGGACAGTGCTGGCAGAGCAAATTGATAGCTCCACGTTCTGCACGGATACCCCAACCAAGGGGAGATGTCACAGTTCGCCAGACATAACCATTGTGTCACCAGGTCGGATAAATGACGTCAACTGGCAGCCCGTAATTTCTCTTGGCTCAGACCACCTCCCAATAATCGTCTCCATAAGCAAATTTCATCATCTCTGAACGCCGCACTTTCCTTAACCATAGGAAAGCCAACTGGCATGGATTCAGAGAGTTCAACAACCAGCGCTTTAGAGAACTTTCCATTCCTTCTGATGTAAGGGTAGCATGAAGGAAAGAAAAGTCCGAGACATCGTTACAGCTGCAGCCGCTAGATTTATATCTGCTGATCGCATACCCGAGATGAGACCTAATTTCCCAGCAGGAGATTAGTCGCTCTCGAACCCTGGTAAGAAAGATGATAGGATCACAGTCACTTTTAACGACGGAACTGTGACTGATCCAAAAAGATGCGTAAGTTATTTTAACCGACAGTTCGTCGAGCATCCAGAGAGCGACAGGGTGAAGCGAAGAGTCTATGTCGTATAAGATCTCTTCCCGCCGAGGAGGTACCATCACAGTTTACATTGGGTGATGTTGCATATGTCATCCGTAACGCTCATTTATCTAAAGCGTCGGGCCCTGACGGAATAACTATGTATATGCTGAAACAGCTGGACGAGTCAGGAGTTAAGTAACTGACAAAGGTCCTCAACTTGCCGATAGCCACCCACGACGTTCCAGAAGTCTGGACAATGGGCAGGGTGGTCCCGCTACTGAACGGATGCCACTTCTGTCACCAGTAGCGAAGGCTCTTGAGGCATTACACCTTGGGAAAGGTATCCAGTTGCTAATCATCAACATGGGGTCCGTAAGCATCACAGCACAACCACACACATATAAGCCGAAGACGAAGACAATCCCATTGAATGTGCAGTTCGAGGTGCACACAAAATACTCGGGTCTCATTCGACAACATGTTCAAATCGTCCGGGCAAATCACAGCTATCTTCCGTAAGTTGAAAAGTAGGAACAATGTCCTCAAGTCGCTTGCCGGCTGCACTTGGGCGCAGATAAGGAAACCCTGTTGACCTCTTACAAAGCGATAGGACGGTCGGTGCTCTAGCTCTGCGAATACTAGTGTTATGCAATAGAGAAGTGTTCAGATCTGTCAGAACGCCGCCCTGAGAATTGCAACAGGTTGCCGCCTCCTCATGGCACTAGTGGATCATCTTCATGAGGAGACGAAGTCAGCATTGCAACATGCTTTCGTTGCAGGAACTGCATATGGTAGATAAGACTCCCCCACTCAGGAAGGTTCTGCATGATCTGGAGAGGTCTAACGTTATTAAAAGGAGCCTCTAGATCAAGTTTCGTATCGAGCAGGTCTAAAAAGCATTCATACTAATGCAGTTGCCGTAGCTCTGAACGAATACAGAGTGAATGCCGTCGTCGGAGCTCACCCGCCACCCATCGCAATTGAAGAACGTCAGCTTCCCAGACAAACCAGAGTAGCTTTTGCCCAATTACGTTCAGGATGGTGTAGTCATCTCAATTCATATTGGGCACGGATTGATGACCAGGTGTCCAACATTTGTTACGGGTTCTCATACGACACCGCCAAATCTACCCAACTTACTCCTGAAAATCTGTGGTTGCAGCCAGTGGAAGTAGTTGCATTTCTTAACTTGGAGACAGAAGCTGACTGAATCAAATAGAAAAACAATCTTTCCCGTAACACAGATTGTTACTGGTTAGAAATGGTTCATCCAATTGAAAAAATGTCAAAAGCCAAAACCGGCACAATCTTTCTTGATTAGTCCTTGTGTTAGTTTCGGTAATAATGTCATTGTCATTTTTATTCCAGCTAAGTCGATAATTAGTCTGCTGTAGCCTAGTCTTAGGTGGTGGTGCGGTCTGTCATCTATCGTTGCCTAGAAATAATGCCTCCTTGAAGTTTGTGTAGTGGTTGAAGTCTTGGCTTAGTTAGTGTTATCATGTTTCCCCAGCTTAGTAAATTATAATCTGCAGTAGCTCGTCCTAGATAATGGAGTTCCCATCTATCGTTGCCTAGAACCACCGTCTCCTTTTATTTTGCACTGTGGTTGGGTTCTTTGCTTATTTGTTGTTAGTCTGCCATTGTCCTTCCCGTCATAGTTTCTTTTTTAAATTATTCGAAGGCCACATTGAAAGAACTATTTCTCCTCCGTTGGGATCCGAACCCGGGACCCTTAGTTTTTTAGTCTGCCAGACTATCCAATGGACTACGACACCCACTAATCCTATTATACTCCTTCATAATTCTCACGCTTTCGTCAATGTTGAGTTCAAAATATTTAATCCTAACTGCCAAACTAAGTCTCTTCTTTCTTGCAGAACAAAGAAGAAAAATGGCTCCCAAACAAAGAATCCCTATAGAACTTCTGCATATCATCTTTAGTAGACGCAAAGACTTTATGAGCACGTTTGAGTTCAAATTTTAATACGTAAACGCCAAAATAAGGCTCTTCTTTGTGGCAGAACAAAGAAGCTGGCGCCCAAACAAAAGTCCCTATAGATCCTTCCCCATATCATATTTAGTAGAGTTTCCTCTACTTCTTCTTCTGATGAGACAAAGAGTTTTGACATGTGAGAAAACTTTGGAGTAGACTTCAAATACAAAACAAATGACTGTTTTGTTGTTGACTATTCACGTGTTGGATAAATAGGTTTGAATTCCCCACAATCCTATTATATTTTTTCACATTGTTGCCAAATTTGTCCACTCAAAACGTACATTTTATACATTGTCACGTTTGACTTCAAATTTCAACACCTAACCGCCAAACGACGGTTATTCTTTGTTGCAGAACAGAAATAATAACAAAAAAATGGCGCCCAAACAAAGAATCTCTCTTCAAGTCAATATCCATTATTTTATTTGTTATTGTTTATTGCAAAGAAGATATTTGCTTTGGAGTTCATACCTTTTGTCATGGAGGAAAGTGATGGATGCTGATGATTGTGTGGCCTGTGTGGCAGTGGTGATGATGGAGATGCTGCACTTGTTTGTTGGTCTGCCTGTCTCGACGAAAAGTCTGTTTTATTTCAAAAACAACAAATTCCCCAGTTTTTTTTTGTCTGCCAATTCTGCCTTTTTCAGTTTCGGTTCTTTGTTAATTTCTTAAAGGTAATGCAGTTGGTTTGTTGTTCAAAACAACGACCTCTTGTCATAATAATCATCGGCATCACTATGCACAGCGACCAAGAAATTCCACAGCCAGCTGAGAGAGCTGCAGCGTACAAATTAATGTTGGGGCTATCAAACATGCCTGAGGAAACTGACTAATATTTTTTGCTTCTTTGTTAGGATTTTTTTTATTAATTGGAAATAAAATTTATTAAACTCCACAGTGTTTAATCTACTGATAATGTTATGACTTTTCCAGAACCTGCGGGATTTTTTATTAATCGAAATTGTTTTCGGGTTTTCCCCGTCTCATTTTTGAAAAGTTGTACCACTTTTTGAATTCTGGTACAGACCAAATATTTTTATAGTTGGACAATTTAGTTTATGAAGCAGGCGAATCTTTCTCATTTCTCATTCGATTTTTAAAATGGAACTAGTTCCTTATCTCCATTATGTT